CCACTTTATGATGTTGCGAATATCCCACGAAAACTTTATTCGCGCGTTACTGAATAATGAGCTTTGCCCCGGAAAGGTTAAATATGCAGAGGGTAGGTCAAAAACCGCGTAAATCCACGAACGGCGTGAGTTCTTTTGTTACGGCAATGATTCCTCTTTCCTATTCATTTTTGGATTCCTTGCGGAAATCCAACAAGCTTCTAGAGTCTAGCGCGTCGCCACATCAGCTTCTCGCTTCAGAAATGAAACCGAGATTTCAAAATCATTGTTTTCATGTCGCACCCTGCGATGAGTCGTACATATACTTGCTTTCCGCAAACCGTCTAGATTTCCCTTATTCATATACATAGCTGCCTTTCCGTTTCACCAATCTATTCAACCCCACATAGCTTAATGTTAGAAGATATATGATTCTAGAGCACATGTAGTCTCCCGACTTATTTGAGAAGCAAATCATACAGTCCGCTTTTTCAAAGCTTGGTCAAATGCCCGATTGCGCACTAAGGTTGCCTGAAGTTTGCAGGAGGGATCTCCACAACTCTCAAATGGTGTTCAAGACCTGATTGGCTCACGCACGCCCTGATCTCGATGCTTAACTCGTCTGAAATGAAAGGCAAACAGAATGGCACCTTGTAATTACTATTAGCATTGCTAAGCAGCTCGCCCGTGTCAAACCCCGTTATCCCACTGGAGAAATACTACCATGGATTCTACCTGCTAAAGTACGCGGCCCAATCCAGACCATGAAGGGAGCCATGGCTCCGGGACCGGACCATGTTTCGGACCTCTTGTGAGCTGGAAGACATCGCCTGCGCGAGATACTTACGAAACATCTAACGTCTTATCTTCAAAAGGAAATCCACACCAGCGAGGAACCTCCCGAACAATCCTGCTTCATAAAAAGGGCGATAGGGAGGATCTTCGGAACTACTGTCCAGTATGCCTGCTGAGATTGGAGCTCAATACTTTGTGAAGTGCAAGCCCTCCACGAAGCTTATTCTCACTTGTGATTAACGCTGGATGAAGTCCATCTGTAGAACAAGCTGGATTTCCAAGGGATACAGCTGCATGGATCAGATCCAGACAGTTTTTGAGGATTATCGATGTTTGTCGAAAGTACCGCCTACCTCGCCTAACCTTCGTTGACTATGAGAAAGCGTTTGACAGCGTCGAGACTAATGCCATACTGTCGGCGCTCGTCGACCAAGGGGTGGACCCATGTTACGCGAGGAATTGGCCTGCTACAGAATAACATACCAATATCGAAGGGGGTACGACAAGGCAACACCGTGTCGCCAAAACTGTCTACCGCCGCCTTGTGGATGATGAAATCACTGGACTGGAACGAGAGAGGTATACGTATTGATGAGAGCCTTTCAAACCTGCGTTTTGCGGAAGACAATGATCTCTTTTCGAGGAACATCACTGAAGCGGAACGATGTTGAAAGAACTAAACGAAGTAGGGAAGCGGATAGGACTGCGAATTAATTGGAAGAGACTCAGTTCATGAAGAACGCTTTTTGCGAGGATCAGGAAATGGAATTAGAAGGCTCTCCAATCGCGGAGACGACTTCTTACGTAGATCTCGAGCTTTCGATGAACATGGAGAACGATCTGAAAGAAGAACTAAACAAGAGGCAAAGGGCAGCTTGGACCACCTTCGGGCCCCTAAAGGAAGCCATAAACCGAATGACAGACACAGGGCTCCGAGCTAACCTGTTCGATTCAACTGTTCTTCCTGCGCTCTGCTACGCAGCATAGATGTGGCCTGACACTGTGACTACGTCAAAAGCTCTTCGAACAACCCACAGAGCGGTGGGATGACGTCTTCTGAAGTAAACCGACGCACTCAACATGTTGTCAGATTTTGCAGTTCAGATATAAATTCAATGTCTCTCTCACTATTTAGTGGAATACGTCTCTGAGGCAGAATATCGATGGGCTGGTCATATAATGAGAAGGAAAGACAGATGGACACTAAGAACTTTGGAATGCATCCCTCCCGAAGCAAAACGTCCTCGAGGGAGGCCACCGACCAGATGGGCTGACGTGTTCGTTGCACAGATGAATCAGCTGAATTCTCAGCTGGTAACGAGTAATGGATCTGGACCCCGCCGCAGTTTAATACCAACGTGGATGACGTTAGCGAGAGAGAGTGAAACCGTTGGAAACAGTGCTGCCTGCACGAAGAGCGAAGACAGGCCATCGAAAAAAGTAAGTCTTGCAATCTGCCTAGGCATGTTTTTAGAATCTAGATTTCTCAGTTTTCAAAAGATTAATGTGATGTCATGAATAGCTGGCGCTCTCCGCTGCTGACAGTTCAGGAGCCGAAGAGAGTCTTTCCTTATATCTTTAGGTACCGCTGACTCCTACCAACGCCATTTCAAATTAGAGTAATTTCGAAAGGAACAATCCGAATAGGATTTCAACTGTATTTCAATTCAGAAGCTTCTACAAACCTCTCAGATTTGCTTTTGAGTACACCAAATTTTTGTAATCATATTCACAATGCAAATAATCACAGATTCTTGATTTCATTGAAGTTGACTATTATTTTCTGATATCAAAACCATTAGAGTACTTTTTTTATCTCTCCATATTTACCATTCTCCTTATCTAATGTGAATAAAAAAAATCATTCCAGGTAGGACCAGCAGAACTCTGTTTTACTATTTTACGTTCGTGAGCATAGAAATCATGCCAATGAAAATGTTAGAAGATTTATAAAAACTGATGCTATGCAGGATGGAAGATACTCCAAATACTCATAGATGATCATAGAAACATATCCAAATCCTCAGGGGTTTGAACTTTATTCCATTATTTTCTGAAGTAATCAAAACATTTTCAAAATTATTTGATGTAAGTAAAATCATTCCAGCGACATTTCTAAAATCTATTTTTGTTCTTGATTTTTAAATAGAATCAACAGGGTTCTATACTCTCAACCTAAAAATGCACGGGAATGTCCATTTTAAAGCATTTTTCAACCACAAACGGGATCTATACTTTTATTTTAGACTCAAAAATGCATGGAAATGTCCATTTTGAAGCATTTTTCAACAATTTTTCATATGCGCCAAAACATTCTGTTCCTTGGATCTCAACCTGTAATCTGCATTCGAACTTCGTTCGAATTTAGATTATGGAGAAAGTTAGCTGAGTTTTACTTTTTTTCTATTTTCTGGTTGCTTTAAACTAGATACGGTCAAGATGAAAATATGCTGATCTCTCCTAGATTTAGCTCACTTCTAGCAGGATAATTACGAGAGCCAATCAGGCTTCTGCCGT